GTGGCTCAAGGAAAACCAGGTTAAGCGCTATTAAGAGTCATTATCCTGGGTGCCATTATAAATTCAACGTTGTTGTTTTTCTTGCGTGGAGCATCAAAAGGGACGCTTTTCTAAAAACAGAGCACGGTCCCTTTACTCCAGCCAATTCCACTTCAGTGAGTGGCACAAAGGCAGTAATCTAGGTTCGCTGTGATCAAGAAACCAACAAACATTCCCCTCCAGTCCGCAGCACTGCTCGAGTAACGCTCTGACATCAGTAGGTCATTGATCCATCATCGGGGTCGCCTGGCGCTCAATAAATAGATTATCTCGTCTGTTAAGAGCCTCGGATCACATAGCTAAAGCATTATCGGTTCGATACGGCCGTGCACTAAAAAGCTAAATGCTTCACGAATGGCTTACATTTTAAACACATTTGCCTTCGAAGACTGCAGAGGTCATTCCTGACCCTGCTCGTGCTGACATGGTGAGTTAAGCAGCCTTTTCTGGGCATTTTGTTCGAATGAAAGAAAAAAAAACAGAGGTACCCGGAAATCCATTTTGAATTATATTGTTCTAATATTATTTAATAAGGATATATTAAAATAATATAGGTAGGCACTTCCTCACCTCTTCCTCATCTTACTCCCCACTCCACCACCTCCCCTCGGCTGGCTCCAGCCTCCTGTTTGTCCCTCTTCCACTCTCCATCATCGACGGCTGTGCTTTCAGCCACTTGGCCCCGATTCTCAGGAGCTCTCTCCATCAATCCCTAAGCCTTGTCCCCTCGTGCCCAGTTTCAGATCACCCCTGAAGACCTGCCTCTTCGACTGTGCCTACGGTCACCTCCTCCCTCCCCCCGCAGCTCCAAGTCAGGCTCCGCCACTGTTAGGTGCTCAGAGACGGGAGCTATATAAACTCAAGAAGTGATTATGTAACAACATCTTGCATTTAATATATTTGTGGCAGTTGCAGAGCGAAGTGCGTAGATTGTGTGAAAAGAAACATAGGACTAAAAATGGCATTTAAACGGGAAATTTGGTTTCAAAGCTACCAGCGGGTCTTCTAGGAACGCAGAGCAACTAGCAACAAAACTAGGGACTAGAGGAGGGATTTGTTTTTTGTTACACAGACCCACTTTTAACCAAAGTATATCCTTACTAATAATTACCATCGAGAGATAGAATTTGCATTGGAAAATATGGACATTTAAATGGTCCTAAACTGAGAATATTCAACGACAAAGCAAACATCAAGGAGGTAAATTGGGGTGTGTTTCAACTTTGCTCCGACCACCTGCTGACCACTTGGCTTGCAGGGAGGTGACAGCGAGATGCCCATAACACCAACACTGTCCAATCAACCATTGTGGTCAAAATCTGACTGGCAATTGGGCGTTTGAGTGTGAAGCAAAGAGAAAAGCAACTGATTCCCCTTTTAGCTGCCATCAGCAAGTGTAGATTGTCACTGTACCACCAAGATGTCCGTCGACCCATCATATTTATACTGATGTTCTCCACATGAGTCCCTGGTTTTATCCCACTCTCCTACTTGGTCCTCATATCCTTCAGACACTGCGTTGCTTCTGGTAAATTATCACACCAGGTCGCAGATTTTACAGCAATAATGCAGCAGAGAGAGTGAATCTCTTTCTACGTCATCACGAAAGGGAATGGGTTAAAGCCAATGTCCATCACAACAGCGTCACCAAAAGACCACTTTACTTTTGCAAACAATTAAGTTTTGCCAGCCAAAATGTTGGTGAAAATGGTGTCGCTTTAAAATGGACAAAAAAAAAACATAGGCGACTGTTTTCAAAAGGCATTTCTTACAACACGAATTCCGCAATAAATGGACGGAACTCTTTAAAGTCTTTTTAAGCTTTCAGTGCAGGACCTGATGTGCTTTGAATGTTTGATGCCCAATTATATTCACAATAGCCTAGGTTCATTCCGTGATCTGATTGCCAGAAAATAAAGTCAAGGGCTTAGGTACATGTTGTGCGTTGGGCCCAATCTATTCCTGCTGGGAAGAAGCAGGATTTGACGTTGACCTCCCCTTTTTGTGCTCATTTAATATGAAGTACACTTCGCTGCGGGGGAAGTAGTCTGCTTCAAAATTGTCCTTCCTATCCTGGAAGGGAAACCCACGTGAAATGGGCAGGTTTCATGTCTGTGTCCAGAGAGCATCCAGCTGAGCCCAGTGCTAACTGGGAGGTCAGGATTCAGTCCAGGAGCACACTGCTTTGAGCCAGTTGTCTTATCCATGAGCTCACATTCTGAAGATGAAAGAGCAGCGTGCCTAGGATTCAAAGGATAGATACGCAACACAGCAGCAGCTAGAAGCCACCGTTTGAAATCTACTGCCCATCATGTTAGCTTAGCTTCACACACTGCACGTCTAAGTGATGCGGTTCCACCTGCAAATTATTTTCAAAACCGTGTACGTTAAAGCCAATGCATCTAAACACTTCCACAACCTGGGACTGAATGAAGGAGGAGCTTGCTTCTGCTCTATGCCTGGTGTATTGTATTTGACGGAGATAATAAATAATAATTCTGGCATTTGATATAGCACCTTAGACGTCTCAAACCTCTTCACAGAATATACTCTAAAGTGATCGTCTGTATATGTTGGGAGCGAGAGCACTGGTTAATAAGGGACCAAGCACTCCGGGATGTTATCTAACATGAACAGGGCTATGTGTAATGTGAGTTGTTGTTTTGCTGTTTAGGTCATTTGATTTTTTTTGAAAAACAGACTATCAACTTCACGTGATTTGCAAATCAATAGGTGTCCACACAGGTCTAAGGCTCTGTGTGTGTATATATTATATATAAAGAAAATTTTGCTCTCACATTCTATTGTAAGCTCCCTCCCATTACAAAGGGAAAAGAGGTTTAAGAGAGTTAACTGAACGTGTATTGACCTTGGATTTATATATATATATATATAGATATATATTGATATAGATATATATTGATATAGATACATATATTGACAATTGACCAGTATTTTCCTGCAGAAGTAAAGTATTTCAGGATCAAAAAAAAAAGCCACATCGAACTTCAGAAAGCAAAGGAAAGGGCAATTTAATTTTTTTTTTAAAAAATGCCCAGTCAAGAAAATAATAGTTAAAAGCAGCCTCGGGCTCATTCGGTGTACGTTGCACGGCTCAAAGTTGTTAAAAATATACATTTTCATTAACGTGTGTTCAAGTTGGTCTGCCTGCAGAATTTACACATCCACCCTCACGAAAATCATTGACCTTGCTTTGATTGTTCAACCTCCGGTTGGATTGCAATCATTAGTCTGAAGTTTCAAAGTTATCTCACGGCTTTTCTTCTTGTCTTGAAAAATAAAAGGAATAAAAATCCTTTAAAATAAAGCGCACAATTATAAGCGGTGTATAAATATTTGATGGCTCTGCCAGGATTGCATGTGGAAGACATTGATGAATAATGATCTGATTACTCAAGCTCCAGATTTTCCTTCAGTAGATCTGCACTGCAGGGAATCTCACTGCAGCTTAAAGGAAGGTCAACAAAGGGCGTTGTTATATCAGAACCCAGTATTTTAAAGCATCTCGACAGCTTTATTTCCTCCTTTCCCCCCACTTTCCTATGCCTCGCTTGGAGCTTGCACCTTTCCTTCAACCCCAGCAGTCGGGGGGGCTGAGTGACCACACACCACCCCCGCCCCATAAAATAATTGGTCACGCAATCCACGTCTGTTTGCAGGACACTGCTGTCCGCAGTTGGTTGCCGAGTTTCTCCCACAAAATACATCGTCAATCCACTTTACATTATATTCTGTGAAACGCTTTGAGACGTCGCAATGACGTGCTTAGGCGCTATATCAAATTCAAGGATTATTATTATTATTACTATTATTAATATTATTAGTTCTCTCTCAGGCACTGGCGCAATACAGTATAACCTTACACAAGTCAACATTATTACAGTTTAGAAATTCTGAGTGGAAAGGGGAGGAAAATGGAAGAGAAAGGTCGTACACGCGAGATTTCATGAACGCACCCGAATTTGTGCCCCTTTGATTGTGCACCCGAAACATGGCAGCCTATACGCACCATCCAATTGGTCTTGTCCTAGGGAATGAGTTGGCTATTTCCCAGTTGGAATATTGTTCGGCAGTATTGCATTCCATCAGGAGAGAGGAAAAAGGGGAGGCCATCTCACCCAGAGAGCGCACCTTCTGTCACTCGGTGGGGGACTGTGGGGCGATTTTAATCCGTTTGGAGTTCGTACTGGCCTGACAGCAGGACAAAACACACGTGTTAGAAAAACCCGAAGAGGTTTTCCGATGTAAATAAATAGTGTTTTGTCTCAGTTAGGTTTTAAAACTTATCCCAGCGTTAAGAGTGTCGCTCATCTGACACATTCACTGAACAGGTGCAGTGAGCAGCAAACACACTGTATACACACACACAGAGAGAATCACGTTAGCAAATTTAGCTTTAGTGCCATCAGGTGGGTTGCAATGCAAATAGCAGCAATCTGGGCTCACTGTGTAGAGGAATCTATCGCCCACATATCGCTAAAGACTCAGCACTCACAGCAGTACTGAACGTGAACCAGCAGGACGACAGAAGTCAAATCAGATCTAGATAGCAAAACCCGCAATGTGTGTTATCGCGTGAGATAATCAAAGGGGTTAAGCTGGCTGAATATTTCCACCAGTCAATTAGGAAACATTTTCACACAGAAAGATTTTGACTGCAACATATACAGTCAATTCACTTTACAGTGTGTCCTGTGCAGCGCTTTGAGACGTCTCGAAGACGTGATAAGGCGCTGGATTAAATGCGAGGGTAATTATTATGAACGGCCTGCTTCTGTGCTGTAAGATTCTCTGAGTTGGTCAGAATTGCCTTTGAGGTGAACTTGACACACGAGGCTGAGTGGGGGGAACAGCATTCGACTGAATTCAGTTTGGGTTCATTTGATCTCCTGCTCCGGTTATGTTCGTACGCAATATAACGCAAAGTGTTTCCTTTTCAGATTCCCTAGGGAGCTCCTCGCCCACCACCTCCTCATCCCTCCAACCATCTCCGGCCGTCTCAACCCACACGTCTCAGTCCACGAGCCGAGACACCTTCCCCCTCATGCAGGACTCCGCCACCGAAGCAGACTCCGGAAGAAGCGAGTCTGACTCCACCCTGTCGGCCGGGATGCCTCTGGATTACCTGATTTTATCCCAGTGCGAGACAAAGTCGGTCGATATATTCAGGTAGAAACTGAAAAGGTTCGATAACAAAAACGGTTGGGGTGGGGAATGGGACAAGTCCAGTGAATCGATCTCCAGTGGAAGGAATAAGAAAGAGGCACCTTTGCTGGACAACGATTAACCCTTCATCGTATTCAGTCGAATGCTCTTCGTACATTTAGTACACTACTCAATTCCAATCTTTCAGTGGTCTTATTCACTTTTCTAATTGGCGTATAATGTCATCCCCAACGTCCACCCACCCACCCACCCACACAATTGCTCTTTGAAATCTTCATTTAATTATTCCATCTGTTCATTTACTAGAAGCTGTGGAAATGCAATCACAAAACCGTATGCAATTGATAATGATTCACTATTAGTCATTGAGCCCTAAAGCGCACGTTATCACAGGACAGAACTTAATAATTGCACCAGAGAAGAGAAAATAAAATAATTGTCTGTAGTGAATGTAACATACACAAGAGAGGTACAGCTGAGGAAGGCAATTTGGCCCACTTAACACCAAATGGAGAATGATCGGTCAACTAAAGTAACAAGACGTTACCGATAGCAAGACAGTAGCTTTCCCTCTCTCAATAAACCAACCTTCTTTTGCAGAAGCAACAGCTGTTCTCCCTGGGACCAATCGCTTGGTCAGTCACTCGAGTTGATAGGACCTGAAGATGCTCAGGACAATCTACAGTTCTTAAGCAAGAGCAGCCCTCCAATACAAAGTACTTGCAACGGACCATTGTACAAGAACATCCAGGACCCACAAGTGGTCATCCTGCCCGGGCAAGATCCGAGTGGGCCTCCTTCGGCTTCCTCGTCTCCTCTCTCAGCGTATTCGTTCTCGCAGATCTTCAACTTTGACAAGAATCACAGCGCCTTGCCTTTTGGAGTGACGGAGCTTCACATTTTATCCAACACCCCGCCCCCCCGGCCACCGAAGCCGGGGCAGTTGACGGAGCGGGAAAGGACGCACGTGGTGCTCCAAAACGACGACGGTGCCTACGCCGTAAACCCAGCCCCGATCCCCAAGAGAGTCCCACTTTCGAGCTTGGAGAAAACAAGAAGTTGGAAAGGTAACCTCGCATTGAGTTGGACGCCTCGCTCAAGGGTCTAATCTTTACTGATGTCCAGATCAGCGGCAGCTTGGTTTGAGTGGATAGCGCTCTGGCTCGGAAGTTTTTGAGTTCAAATTCCACACGCGCACGCACGCACACACACACACACACACACACACAGACGCGGCCACACATACTGCATTGTCAGAGGTGCCATCCTTTCAGATGAGATGACAAACCACAGTCCCTTCTGCCTGGCCATGTTGGATGTTAAACGTCTCATGGCATTATTTCGAAGCGAGCAGGGAATTATCCTCATTCTCTGGCTATTCCTGAAGCGCAAATCAGTGGAAAAAACAGAGGAGATGGAGGGGGTTTAAAAACTTGGTGTTGCCTTTGAGCTCCTGCTAGTATACTTCACTGTCACTGACGGCTTGTGAACGTGGAAGACAGTTTGCAGCAGTGCTGTTACGGGGGTGGAACGGATCGAAATATTGGGCTTTCAAAAAAATGTTTTATGCCAAGGTTGTTTAGAAGCAGCGAGCCTTAAATAAATTCATTAAAACCCACTCACCTCGCGTGGGTTTTAATTTGATGACTTGTCCCCCGCTCTGTATAGACTACAGACCAAATGTAAAACCGCAGATATTCTAAAGCTTTACTGCATTATCTTTTGACGTGGAGCAAACGTACGTTAAAAGGGAAGCGTATGTAAGATATTGAGTTGCCCAATGATGAGTACAGTCACACTTCAGAGCTTTGGTCAAATCTTTTGAGCCTGAAGCCTGATCAAGATTGAGATCGATAGATTTCTTATTGCAAAAGGGATTAAGGGATATGGGGATAAGGCAGGGTTAGGTTATTAGCTGGAGTTAGACTAGAAGATCAGCCATGATTGAATGGCGGGGTAGGCTCGAAGGGCCGAATGGCCTCCTCCTGCTCCTACGTGTTATGTTATCTGTGAGAGGGATCTATTTGTTGTGCTTTGTGATCTTTTTGCAATGAAAGCAATTTTGTTTTTCAGTATTCTAACTCTTTGTGAAGCCTTATGAGATGGGTGGGTGGGTTGCGGAGGAAGGGGGTTGGGGGGAAAGAGAGGGGAGGCGGGGCAAAGAGACCTTATTTAATACAACGGCAGGGTACAAGCAAAGTTAACGTCATATAATGGCTCTATAGATATAGAGAACCCCCCCCCCTCCCACACACACACATATACACACCGTGCACACCACACACGCACACCCACACACACAAAATAGTTCAAAGCCTAAGCAAGATTCAAACCCAGGTAAAGTTCCATTGGCTTTAGGGGCATTTCCTTTTATTTTTCAGGGGGTGTATTAACATAACAAACTCTTGCGTTTCAGATACTAAAGACTCCAGCTTTAAGGCACTGTCTGATTTCCAACGCAGCTCCACCAAGCCAGCGGAGGAGGGTTTTGATCTAAATTTGGTGAGTTTATAGAGTTGGAAAGTAGGATTCCTGCAAAAAGTGACACAGAGAGGACAGTTCACCCAACACCTCTTGTGTCACACGTGATGTCAGTCGGTTTCCTGGGAGTTTCACAGGAATAATCAGTTGTAATTGTACAATTCCTGTGCTTCACAGCAGTTCATGTGTGAGGATTGTACTCCACAGGGCTCTCTCACTGTACAAATCAGCTGCTGCGCATACCAACAAATACACAGTCACTGTACTTTGCAGTAGAGTCCTGCAAAGCACTTTGAGACGTCCTTGCAACGTGAAAGATTGATTATTATTATTATTTCTTTAAAGCAGATGGTAACCCCAGGTCCAAATTACAGCACCACGGACAGCACTGATGACAGCTACGTCCCAATGAACCCTGGATCCTCTCCAGTGATGCCCACAGCTGACTGCACAGCAGATGGCTACATCCCCATGAGCCCAGCCTCTACCACCCTGGTCTTTCCTCCAGTCATTACGGACAATCTGCCGGCTGTCAGCCCAATGCCTACACTCCCCACAGACTTGGCACCTCCTCCGGTCAACCGAAACCTCAAACCTCGCATCAGGAAAAGTAAGGAAGTCCATCGAGACGGATGATAAACTGTTCCAAAAAGGGGTTACAATAGGGTTGAATTTGCGGCATTGTTCAACTTGGGTGAATCTCACCAATGGATCACAGCTAGAGGGACAGTATTGCGACCGGATTCAGCGCACCCAGGGCTGGGAGGAGGGGTGGGGGTGGGTGGTTGGGAGGGTGGAGGGGGGTTGGAGGGGAATAGAAAGCCCAATCATTGTTTAACGACACCTACAGGACAGTCCACAGGCAAGCATCACGCTGAATAAAGTGGAAAGGGTTTGCAAATCATTTTTGTGCTGTGATTGTTCCTCGTGCCAACGGCTTGTGGTTTCAATTACAGTGAAGCCACCGCCTTTGGACTTGAGGAGTCTCTCAGCCATCAGGGAGCACTACAACAATTCCTGCGTCAGCCGGACCTGGAGTATGCCATTGTAAGTAACGCCTCTCACTGCACGTTACATAAGCGACTGCGCTAGTACAGTATTGGGTGCTGTACGTGAGTGAATGCAAGGAGAGTACGAACAAGGGAAATTCTAGATAATAAGTAAAACTAAATAACCCTGGCGTTTGACGTAGCGCCTTTCACGTCAGGTGGGGGACGTCTCAAATCGCTCCACAGAATTCACCTTAAAATGCCGCCCACAAAAAATCCACGCTCCACAGTAAAATCCTTCGAAACAACAACAGCAACAAGATTCCATATATAAAGCGCCTTTCACGTCAGGAGGACGTCCCAAGGCGCTGCACAGTTGGGTCATGACCCGAGCAGGGGGGAAATGGTCAGGGTGAGGGAAGGGAAGGGAGGGAGCGAGGAGGGGGAAGAGAGTCGAGAGGGGAGCTGAAGGCTCGGTCAAAGAGAAAGGTTTTGAGACCGGCCTTGAAGGAGGAGAGGGAGGAAGCAAGGCGAAGGCACTGGGGGATAGAGTTCCAGAGCCTGGGGGCTGAGAGGCTGAAGGCCCGACCACCGATGGTAGGGCGATTGGGGCGGGGGACGTGGAGCAGACCGGAGCCGGAAGAACAGAGGGTACGCTTGCGAGACGTTCTCACGACGCGAACGGCGCTGTAACGGACGCACGGATTGCGATGAACCTTTCCGCGAGAAAGTGTTTTGCAAAGGGCACGCGCAAACGTCACGTCCCAATGTGGGTAGTGCTGTCGAGTTTACTCGCTGCCTCGCTGAGAGCTTTTCGTGCTTCCTTCAAACTTTCAGCAGATGGAGCACCGCCAACTGCATCATACCAGAAGGTCACTGTAGTTCAGCCAGGAGCTTTTATAGCACAACGGATGGAGAGAATGAGGACAACTACATTCCAATGGTAAAGACACACACACGCACTCACACACAGCCCCCCCCCCACCACACACACACCACACACACCCACACACACACACCACCCCCCACCCACCCACACACACACACACATTCACACACATACACTCTCACACACCGCACGCCTCCCACCACCACACACAACACAGACAAACAGACATACACACACGCGCACACACGTACACGCACAGAGAGCCGCACAAAGTTTAGTTCTGTGACGGCAGGAAAGACAACAAAATCACCCAACTCCCCCATTCCCGACATGCTGGAGTGGTTATGGCTTCAGCAGTAAGAGAAACCAAATGAACACATAAAAATTAGGAGGCTATCAACAAAATGACTCATGATTTGCGCTTTAATTCTTAACCTTTTCTCCCCAGGAACGGGCCAACTCCATGTGCAACGGCAACATCAACACTCTGTGGTCAAGAAAATCTGATCTCGACTATCTAGCCTTAGATTTCAATGCAACATCTCCCTCTCCTGTTCAGAAGGTATTTGTCTTCGCATCTCACGTCCCAAAGTTTACCCGGCGTTTCAGAGTAGCATTCGTTTCAGTAATAAAGCGATCAGAAACAGACCCACGCACATCTGTGACACGCCTGAGCAAATAAACAAGCGGATGGAATCTTTTAAAAGGGAAGTGAAAACCAGAGTGAAGAAATTAAGCTTAGAAAGGAAATAACGGGGGGGGAATTTTTTTAAAAATGAGACTGTGGGATTTTAAAATGAGAAACTAATGGCCGGGGGGAGACGGAGGGGCAGAAAGAGGAAAAGTACACCTCATTTTAGCAAAATGACGTCTTACTTTGGGAGGCGGGGGAAAGAAAGAAGAAAAAAATCACCTGAAATTTGAATTGAAGGGAAATGAGTTCATCTAAATCTTCCACTGACCAANACAACAACAACAACAACAACAACAAAAACACCACCGCATTCATTTCATTTTAACTCCAGGTTTTAAATGTCAGCTGTTCCGATCCAACCGACAAACCAAAGCTACTGCCCGAATGATAATACTGCTCCAGAATGTAACCGGGAACCAAGGGAGATAGATAGGTGCAGCGTTCACTCATGCTTTCTGCGTTTGGATATGGAAACGGGCAAAACTCAATCACAGAGCCATTGACTGATTTTCCTAATGTGTTGCCCTTTCTTTCCCTCCTGCACAGAAGCCCTTCCTTGCATCCATGCTGGAAGAGAGGGTAGACTACGTCCAGGTGGACGAACAGAAGACTCAGGCATTGCAAAACACTAAGCAGGAGTGGACTGACGTTAGGCAATCCTGCAACCTGTCCAAAAGTTTGAAGTGAGTGACTGTGAGTCCCCTTCTCCAGGAATTTTGGGTTGTTTTATATATACCAGCAGTGCACTGCACTAAGCCTCTAATCCGGATCAATGTGGTTGCAGAAAGTCCAGACCGTTGAAGTTTATTTAAAAACTTTTTAATATTAAAAAAAACTTTTTCCAACCAAAAGGCGAAACAATGAAAAAAAACACCGGCACATCCGATGAAAATTTGGCAGCTTATTCATCTTGAAACGTCGAGGCAGAGAGACGGAGACGCAGACTAGGTGCGCAAATACACTTCCGTCTGCCCTTCCCACTCGCCGCATCAATTTATTCCGAAGATCTCCCAACGTCTGATAGGACGTTCCAGCGTTCTGGAAAAGTCAAGCTGTTAGTCGGTTGCTGAAGGAACACTTTGGTGAACAGCAAGATGGCTTGGCCTCAGGTACATGAGCAGGGAGAGTGGTGTTGGTACTGACATTATGACAAAGCATCGGGATCAGGAAAGACAGCAAGCGGGAAATACCTCCATCCAGGTCCTAGGTCGGAGAGCATCCAACTCCAGCTTCGCACACGCCTGCCACTTTACCGTTCCCAACGCTCGGCTTTGCTGTGTCCCCTCGGGATGAAGAGGGATTTGAAGAGCTCTAGAGATCTTGTGCTTCTGCTGGACAGATCCACAAGCTTTGCAAACTTTATTCGCCATCCAATACCAATTTCTGCCTCACTGCAATATCTCTTTCCATGGTGGAAACACCATTACCGTTATAGCATTACTTTACCGTGAAACTCGTTTGTCAGATTATGTACAAGTTGTTGCTTCCAGGTCAATACCCCTTCTGCCCCCACCAACCCCCTCCCCTACTCCCACCAACCCCACCTCCACACCCCCCCAAGGGAATCTGAAAAGATCATCTCAGGGATACAAGTACCGGTGACCAGCTTCAGTGACTTTCTCAGGAAATGGACAGGTGATCGACGACGAGAAGCAGTCATTTTGACTATCTCAAAACCATCCCAAACATAAACCCGTTAACAAACCAACAAAAGAAAAATTCAGCCTCTGTCGCAACAGCAGCATAAAAAAAATTAGCTCGAGTGCAGAACGAAAATTGGCCCATTGTGCACCGATCACAAAGGGAAGATTGGTTTCTTTTTAAAACCACTATAGTGAAATAACTCTTAAGAAGCCTGAAATAACCTAATCTATTCATAGAATTATACAGCACAGAAGGAGGCCATTCGGTCCATCGTGTCTGTGGAGGTTCTTTGAAAAGAGCTATCCAAATCAATCTCACTCCCCGCACTCTCCCCGTAGCCCGGCAAACTTGTCCTCCCTAAATAATTATCTAAGCAATGGTACCCTTGATTCCCTGATGGCACCATGAGCTATATATGCCTCCGACACTTTTCCCACTGCACCTTATGGATCACTCTCATCTACAAGTCTACTAGTACAGAGACTGCAAACAGCGACTTCAGTCTCGCAGCTTAAAAGTGACTTCAGAAGAGAATGCAAAAACAAAAAAATGCAGGTGACAATTCTATAGAAATGAACATCTGGGGAGAAGGGGGTAATATTTCTCAGCACTTGATCTTCTTGCTTTACACTTTTAGTGTCAAAATAATTCTGAATGTTTTTTTTTGTCTGCATTAATATTCGACTGTGCAATGTTCCAGTCTAGACCAGAGGTAAGATGAGCAAAAAGCTTTATTCACCTGATGAAGAACCCACTTCCATACTGATGAACGAGAAGGCAGATTAATTTATGAGTTATGTACACTGGAATCATATTTATTTGAATGTCAAATTGTATCTAATTTTACAATCCCCTGAACTGCATTAAATACACTTCTCCCCAATGATTTTAATTGCACTCACTGTATAAAAACAGAACATTAAAAAGGTCAATATTTAAAGCAATAGCTTTCAGGAAAGACTCCATGACATTAAAGTATTAAACAGAATTAACAAAAAACATTTTCTATTCTTTCTTCACATCTAACGCACATTCGTCTTCCAATTTGCAGCTTCCAATTGCTGGTTAGAAGAATAACAGCTCACACTTGAGTTCTAGTAAAACCGAGATCCCTCGCCCAACAGTCAAGCGCAGAAAAGGCTAGCATGCAAGTCAGCTTCAAAATAACAATCCTTACGGATTTAACCCCGATAGTCTTATTCTTGTGAATGAGTTTCAATCGCATTCCAGGCACATGTACAGTAAACGCAATCGTCCGAGCACAAGCTGTCCCCAATCACATGAAGACCCGACCCTTTCTGATAGCGAGCCAAATGTTAGCAGGAGCAGCACTCTAAAATCCCCGCCCACCCACCCAGCTTTTCTCTCATGGCATCGCCAATCTTCAAAGGACAAGCACACAAGATAACCTTTTGGCACTAAAGAAGATAGGATGCTGTTTAACTCATAGAAGCCACAACTCACCATCCATCAACACTCATTGCTGTCTCTGGCCATATGGCAATAAGGATACCATTTAACATTGGTCTTGGGCTCAGGCTTTGGACTGAAAGTGACAATAATTGTCACTCGGAGTAATGGATGAGTTAATAGCACAATACAAATGGTCGCAACGCGACCATTTTTACGTGTTCTGCTTTTCTTTTTAAAGGGTCCTTCTGTTTTGTTCCTATCGATCCTGGCAATGAATTCAAACTGCGTCCCTATTGCAAAAGTAATCTCACTATCACCAAAGGGAAATTTAAGATCCTCAGTGATCAGCAGTTGACAAAGCTCTTTGCTGCAAAAGTAAATATTGTTAATATAGGCTCAAATAAGTTTTTTTTTAATAAATTAAAACCCATTTTAAAAAATCAGGGTGCGTCACAAACACGATCCAAAGACTGAAACCGCAGATTAGGAATAAAAAGGATTGCAGTTCAGGATCGCTCTGTCATCTGCTCGCTTGATGTAAATATTTGTATATACGGATCTGTAAAAGTATTTCGGTGAAAATAAACTGTTTGTGTTCATGTTAAACATCTCTGTGGCTTGTGGGTTTCAAAGTTATTTTAATGGTGAGAGCCACCAGCGAGTTCTGAGATATCAGATAAAGTAATGGTTCCCAAATTCCACCCAGTCTGGAAACCCCATTTGAGGATCGCCCAGGACTTTGGGAAAATTCTTCAGTCTTAATTAATTTGGGGAAAAAAAGATGCTGCCTAAACCATCCAAAAGAAAACGCAAGTTATTTTGCAAGCTGTACTTCTTTGGCAGTGTTTTAAACAGTTGCATTTCGGAGAACATATACAAAGTGATTTTACAGTAATGGGGTTGGTTACGGGGCAGAGCAGTGGACAAACTGCGAGCCCTTTCACCACGTGTGTGTATGACGAGGAATGCTAGTGCGTGCTTTGTCCTTCGAATTAAAACGAAAGAGGTCAATTGGAAAACCACATTGTGGGTACGTGCGCCACAGAAGTTGCATCGTCTGTTTGTTTAGTGCTGACCGTAACTTGGCCTTTTCTCAGCTTTCCAGTAACTCAACCAGGTCAAATCCCCTCCCGCCCTACCCCAAACATAGTAACACTGCAGTAAAGTCAACCTGTAACCTCCGTGCTGCCTTCATCTTGTCTACAACAGGCCTGCAGCCACTTATTTACTCTCTGTTCCCTGCATTTGCTTTTCTCTCTAAATGCTTCAAGTGATACTTCATCAATTACTGGGTGTGAAATTATACCATTTGTAAATGGTAATAATAAATAAATAATCCGTGCATTTGATATAGCACTTTTCAAGTCTTCTGGAATTCTCAAAGCGCTTCACAGAATATCCTGTAAAGTGAATTGACTGTATATTTGTGGGCGAAGCGCGGCAGCCAATTGCGCACAGCAATGTCCCACAAACAGTCATGGATTGAAGTGACCAATTTACAATTGTTTTTTTTTCTTGAGGGATTATTATCAGGCGTGTGCAGTAAGGAAACTTGCCCAAGTTTTCGCCCCCTGCCGGGAATCGAACCCAGGTCTCTCGCTTGCGAGGCGGGTGCTCTAACCACTGAGCTATTGCAGATCCTGTTGGATCAGGCGTCTCAAAATACCTTACCTTTTGCCATGCAGATTGATGATGTCCACGGTATTGATGTGGCAGAGGGATTGAGGCAGGGAGGTCCAGAGGTTAGGGGTATAATGACAAAAGGCTTGACCCATCCCTAAACATAGTATTACGAACGAAGATTGCCCCAAACCCATCTCAAGAGGACGAGTCACTGTTGGTCAGTTACTTTGAGAAGTACACTTTGTTTCTAATTATCCAATTAATGATTTACCTGATTCAGAGCTTCATTATTATCTCATTACATTTCACTTTAGGCAGATTTCTCGAGTGAATAAATGTATCACTACCTTTGAAACGGCAAACTACATAAATAACCATTATCCACGAACACACTTGTAAAGTCAAATAACTCAGATCTGTTTGTAGGACCCAACCTGTGTTTGATCCATTGATATTGTCTTGGAAATTATTCTCTTTAATTTCATTGAATGGATCTGAATTGCCTCCCACAAGCTCCTTTCCCCCTTTGTCCTTCCTTTGGCAATGCATTTGCTTCACGCATTTAGCTGTCTGTCTCTTTTGAAAGATTCCACGTAATTGATGGTAATTAAAATAACCAATAATTAGTACTCTGTCGCCTTATTTGCTCAAATCATTCACATCAATTTCCTCCCTTTGTCCCTGCAGTCTATACCAATTTGCACACATGGCCTCTCATCTCAAATTAAATCCAACTTTCAATAACTTTCAGGCTCTTCGTAATAACGTGCCACCTCCTTCCAATTTATCCCTTGTTCTGAGCAAACCCAGTGCACAAAACCTAAGGACAATTTTTCACTATGGTCATTAGATTCATACAAACCCACAACTTTACGATAGTCCGTTTAAAGTTTAATAGTAATCCTGGCATTTGAGATAGCGCCTTATCACGTCTACGAGACATCTCAAAGCGCTTCACAGAATAAACTGTAAAGTGAATCGACTGTATGTGTTGTGGACAAAATATTGCAGCACTTGAAGATGGGGATGTGGTATGCTGCATTTTGCACACAAAATATACAACTCTTTCCAATTACAATACCGCTCACAGCTCCTGTCTAATTAAATATGAGTCAAGCCTACACACTGTTCACACTTCCATAAACCTTCCTGATTTTTGTGAAACTATTCTCTCTATGCTATCCTTCGCACGAAAGGTTAGAGCCAATTATCCCACTGAGTTTCACACTGCCACATTAGAACCTAACGTAACCAAGACGTCACTGCCTTTTTTTCTATCACTCGAATTTCCTTTTACAGTATTTCTTGTGTGTCAGTCGGTAGCATGTTCTCCTCCGAGTCAGAAAGATGTGGGTTCTTGAACTTGGAACCGATGATAATAATAATCCTTGCATTTGAAATGGTGCCTTAAAATAGCAGTGAGACGTCTCAAAGCGATTCCCAGGACATAATGTCAAGTGGATTGCCTGTGTATTTTGTGGGCGAAATGTGGCAGCCAGTTTGCGCACAGCAAAGTCCCCCAAAACAGCCATGGCATGAATGACCAATTTTATTAGGGGGATTTTTTGACCAAGACACCGAGAGAGAGAGAAACTCCCTTCTCTTTTCCAATAGTGTCATGGGATCTTTAGCGTCCATCTGAACAGGCAGAGGGGACCTTGATTTAACGTCTCATCCTACCTGCTCCGGTGAGCGTTAAAGATCCCATAGTACTATTCGAAAAGAGAATGGGAGTGTCTCCTGGGACATCGCTGTGCGCAAATTGGCTCGTGTGTTTGCCCGCAAAATATCCAATCATTCCCCTTCACAGTAAATCCAGTGAAGCATCTTGTGACGTCCTG